GTATCGCTGTGGCATTGTTGTGGTATTGTTGTGGTATCGTTGTGGTATTATTGTGATATCGTTGTGGTATTGTTGTGGTATCGCTGTGGTATCGTTTGGTATTGTTCTGGTATTGTTGTGGTACTGTTGTGGTATTGTTGTGGCATTGTTGTGGCATTTTGTTAGTATTGTTGTGGCATTGTTGTGGTGTCGTTGTGGCGTTGTTGTGGTATTGGTGTGGTATTGTTGTGGTATTGTTGTGGTATTGCTGAGGTATTGTTGTGGTATCGCTGTGGTATCGCTGTTGTATTGTTGTGGCATTGTTGTGGTATCGTTGTGGTATCGGTGTGGTATCGGTTATGGTATCGCTGTGGCATTGTTCCGGCATTGTTGTGGTAATTGTTTGTGGTATTGTTGTGACATTGTTGTGGCATTTTGTGGCATTGTTGTGGCAATTGCTGTGGTATCGCTGTGGCATCGTTGTGGTATTGTTGTGGTATCGTTGTGGTATCGTTGTGGCATTGTTGGGGCATCGTTGTGGTATTGTTGTGGTATTGTTGAGTATCGCTGGTATTGTTGTGGTATTGTTGTGGTATTGTTGTGGCATTGTTGTGGTATCGTTGTGGTATCGTTGTGGTATCGTTGTGGTGTGGTTGTGGTATCATTGTGGTATTGTTGTGGCATTGTTGTGGTATCGTTGTGGCATTGTTGTGGTATCGTTGTGGTATTGCTGTGGTATCGCTGTGGTGTCGCTGCTGTGGTGTGGTTGTGGCATTGTTGTGGTATCGTTGTGGCATTGTTGTGGTATTGATGTGGTATGGCTGTGGTATCGTTGTGGTATCGTTGTGGTATTGTTGTGGTATTGCTGTGGTATAGCTGTGTTATTGTGGTATTGCTGTGGTATTATTGTGGTATTGCTGTGGTATTGCTGTGGTATCGCTGAGTTATTGTGGTATTGCTGTGGTATTGTTGTATTGCTATGGTATCACTATGGTATTGCTGAGGTATTGTGATATTGCTGTGGTATCGCTGTGTTATTGTGGTATTGCTGTGGTATTGTTGTATTGCTGTGGTATCGCTGAGGTATTGTGATATTGATGTGGTATTGCTGTGGTATAGGTGTTATTGTGGTATTGGTGTGGTATTATTGTGATATTGATGTGGTATTGCTGTGGTATCGCTGTGTTATTGTGGTATTGCTGTGGTATTGTTGTATTGCTATGGTATCACTATGGTATTGCTGAGGTATTGTGATATTGCTGTGGTATCGCTGTGTTATTGTGGTATTGCTGTGGTATTGTTGTATTGCTGTGGTATCGCTGAGGTATTGTGGTATTGATGTGGTATTGCTGTGGTATTGCTGTGTTATTGTGGTATTGCTGTGGTATTTTGTATCGCTGTGGTATTGCTGTGTTATTGTAGTATTGCTGTGGTATTGTGTTATTGCTGTGGTATTGCTGTGGTATCGCTGTGGTATCGCTGTGGTATTGCTGTGATTGGCATGTTAGAAGTTGATGAATACTAAGAACGGCCTGATACTTTATGGGTGACAAGTTCACTATGATATTATATTGCAACGTTCTGGTGTAGATTCCTGTACCGCTGTGAAGCAAGAGATACTAATAATACCATCATTATATAACAGAGACGTATCATATCATTCTGACTGTGACGATCAAATGTGTCACCATAGAATAACCGTTTTATTTGATTTTCAGTTTAAGCCACCACAAACGTCAATGCATGTTTTGTTTAACCCGGCAGTTTGTAGTGAGTGAGTTGAGTTTTACGCCGCACTATTCCAGCTATATGGCGGCGGTCTCTAAATAACCGAGTATGGACCAGACAATCCAGTGATCAACAGCATGAGCATCAATCTACGCAACTGGGAAACGATGACATGTGTCAACCAAGTCAGCGAGCCTGACCACTCGATCCCGTTAGTCGCCTTTTTCGACAATCATGGGTTACTGAAGACCAATTCTATCCCGGATCTTCACTGGTCAGCAGATTGTAGTCTTCTAACTCCTGCCAAACTGTAAACTGTTTGAAAGACGCTGCTCGTTATTGAAATGCGTGTCATAACCTGTGGATCTCCATCAGCCTGGACGGTACTGCAACTAGTGAAACAGATCGGATTACCTGTTGTTCGGATTAAACGCTTATTTGTATAGGGATTAGTGGTCCTTAAACAAATAGACATAAGCATTGTCATCATCCGGATTCGGGGGATAGAGGCTGGGAGAGCTTTGTATGCTTTTCGGGTGGCCCAGGTTCGTATCCCAGGTTCGAATCCCAGTTTGTAAGCACCATACACACCATCTGTCACCACGGTTCCGGCACCCAGCTAACACGCCGTGATATAACTGAAATATAAGTCACTGCAGCGTTCAACATAACCCCCTTATTCATTCCTTTAGTTGGGACAGGATCTGCTGATGCAAGATTCCCCCTGATAGTTATTCTGTTACATTCGCCACCACGGGTAACTTTCCGTAACCTACGAGAAGATCCAAGAATGGTCACGAATGACAAATGATTCCGTTAGCACCAGACGCATTTGTCACCCCTCTCTACCATCGCTTGTCGAATTGGTTGCCCCAGAACAAAGATCATGGGTTTCCGTGGTGCCATGGCCAGGGTTAGGGTTTTCCCACTGAACTGCGATATAACTGAACTATCTTGTGCAACGTATAGTGCGTTTTGCTCAAAAGCGGACCGATGAATTGCAATCCAACTCGAAAACTAGTAAACATATAATAATCAATGAAACGCTGATCATAATCAAAACATCAGACCAACTCTGTGATTTGTTTGCAGAATTTATGTCCTAAAATTTAAAAGTTGTTTAACAAACTATCATTAAAATATTGACACAGTTCACTATTTGTTACGAGAGAGTAGTGGAGAGAAAGGGACAGCCAGGTGTTGGAGAAGCACGTGCACAAGTGCCGACAAAGTTATTGATTCATTAACCTGTGCTGTGCCGTCTCCATCCTTTCTCGCACACCTGGCTGTCCCTTTCTCTGCACTCCTCCCTCGTAACAAATAGTGAACTGTGTCAATATTTTAATGATAGTTTGTTAAACAACTTTTTATTTTAGGACATAAATTCTGCAAAAACCTCACAGAGTTGGTCTGAAATTTTGATAATGATCATTGTTTCATGGAGTATTTTGTTTATTAGTTTTCGAGTTAGATTGCAATTCATCGGTCTGCTTTTGAGCCAAACGGACTATACGTGCCAATGAAGGGTAAACATTTTTTAATGGGATCAAAACTACTGATTTAGGGACTGACTTATAACTGACTTATTAACTCACTTGGACAGAATTGCATCGTTCTGCAATGATTAGTCGAGAACGCGCATGGGCATAGGCGGATCCAGAGGGGGGGTGCAGGGGTGCGCACCCCTCCTTTTGTGCTGAAAGTTTGTTAAATGACCATTGAAACTCGGGTAAAAATGAAGTGTGCACCCTTCCTTTTCTCAATAGTGTGCACCTTCTCTTGCATCCGCCCCTGAAAGCTGTATCCGCCCCTGATGGGTATTTAAGTTAGATAAGCCATCGTATTTATATTCACACATGAGACCAGTTATTATCTTGTTTGTCTAACACTTCACTGACATGTCGGGCAGGGCACGCGGAAACTGAATCGAGTTGGTTCCCAAAATATCCTGTGTGTAGTTCAATACAGTTCGGGGAAAATAAGTGAGTGACTTGATGAGTTGGTGTGGGTGAGTGAGTGAGTGAGTGGGTGAGTGAGTGAGTTGATGAGTGAGTGTGTCTATGAGTGAGATGATGAGTTGATGTGTGGGTTGGTGAGTGAGTGAGGTAATAGTTGGGTAAGTGAGTTGGTTAATGGTTGTGTGAATAAGTGAGTTAATGTGTCGGTGGGTGAGTGAGTGATTTAATGGGTGGGTGGATGAGTGAGTTAACAGGGTAGGTGAGTGAGTCAGTGATCGAATGGAGGGTCGAGTGAGTTGATGAGTGGGTGGGTGAGTGAGTGAGGTAATGGGTGGGTGAGTGAGTAGGTTAATGGTTGTGTGAATGAGTGAGTTAATGTGTCGGTGGGTGAGTGAGTGAGTTAATGAGTTGTTGGTCGGTGAGTGAGTGAGTTAATGTATTGGTGAGTGAGTGAGATAATGGGTGAGTGGATGCGGTGGGTGAGTGAGTTGGTCTGATATGCATGAGTGAGTAAGTGAATTTTAACGCAACATAGAAATATATCAATGCGTCTCGACTTGCTATGAGCAGGTCTTAATTGTTTATTGTGAACGTGTGCTGTCAACTCCTCTGTACAAATGACAGGTAACAGACTGGGGATCATGGCGTACATTGTATACCCCGTCTGTCAGAGATGGAGTCAAAACGTGTGTTGAACCGGCGATGTTTTGAGGGTCGTACTAATACACCGAGATGTACTTGAATTACTGGGAGGAGACAGGCGAATGAATCGTTTACGAAGAACATTCAGTGTTATTTGAAAGTAATTATTAAGTGATCAATATATCGATCTGTATTAAAAAACGTTTTTATTGCTATTTGATGTTGCTTTCTTCCTTGCCAAGACTGGGTGACTGAAAATATCATTTTGAAATCAAAGTTCGCGAAACTGAGTTTGTCACAGTTATCAAAGTAAACAAATAAACCTGAACTGACAGACAGGATTCCGGGAACACCTAACAGGAAAACATTCGCGATCCATAACGACACCATACTACTTAGAGCCCATTCAGTCAAATTCTCGTCAAAAGCAAACGTGTAAACCCAGCTTCACTCTGAACAATGAGATAAGCTGGCCTCAAATATGTCATTATCCTCTCGGAAGCGGAAAATGATACTTTTTGTCTGAAACTTCCTTTTAACTAACAGTGAAGATTTAGGCGTCCTGTGGATCTATTTGACGCAACAGGCAAATGTGCGATACCAGATCACAGCCAGGCGATATGCATTGCGTGGGTGTCTAAAAATAGCACAGCGCCTCTCGGAGCGCCAATCAGAGACGCGGAAATCGGGTCATCACTGTTTGGTTTGCATGCGCTCTTGAAGCTCCGTACGATTGTGGAGGATGTGTAGAGCCGTAATGCCACCTCCAGTATACGTGAGTCTAGTGGTCAGTTTGGAGTACAAGTGACCGTTCGGACGTTCAATACCTTCTAAACGATGACATGGAATATTGTGTGTAAAAGCTGAAGAAGCTTGGACCAGAATGGGCCATTTGTGGACCCGTCTCTTCAGGCATCGGGATGTACGCATTCTCCTGCTAGGTAGGTTTTTCTTGGAATTATTCCTGATAGTTGTATCATTGCCAGTGCACTCTGCAGCAGACAAGGTGCACATATGTGCGTGCTGCACTCTAGGGCGTTATGTCCGTATATTTCTCTCTACAGGCGTGTATATTACCGTTAACACAGAACCGTGGAATAGTAGAGCGGTTCAGTTGCTGTAATTGATACGACGCTTGTGATCAGCTGTTGACAGTGAAATTGACATTGTATGTCTGGGGCGAGCGTGGGGGTCGGGCTGACACCGCCTGGGTAACCAACAGGGTTGTTGATGTTTCCATGGGTGAAGTTGGAATGTCAGGACGGTTTCGGCAGTTTCAGATCAGATAGATGTCTGGAGCTAATGTTGATATTGTCATTGTTTTGAAGTCCGCTATTAGATGTCTTAGTGATCTTTATCATCGCCCATAGAGTCAACATGGACGTCATGATTTTGAAAATTGTGTATCCTTAATTATATTAATGATGAAACGAATGAAACTATTGATCTTTTGTGTAGACTTACGTGACTGTTATCGTTTGACAATAATGGTACGAATTTCAATTTCCTTACATTTATAGAAAACCCCAATATATATAATGCTTCTCTATATATGATGAAATCGCCTATTTGGTATATACTATAGGTTCCCGAATTGTTTCAGGTGAACTATTGACTTGGCTTTGCATGTGTTTATGACATTTGCCACCAGTGGTGCAGGAGACACTCACCTTTTTAGCTAGTCCAGCATATAACTAGACGACTTTGCACTATACCAAGGCTGGAATAAGAGTTTATTCATATGAACTACTTTTTAGCAAACCTGTGGTACCATCACTATTTCATAGTGATTCATAAACACCTGCTCATGATATGGTCAGAACTATACAAAGCTCTGGGCAGGCATTTCTGTGGATGTGGAAAGGGTTTTGTAACTTGTATTTTCATGCTGTACATCGACATGAATCATGTAATGGAGATGAAGTACAGATGTACTTGAGAAGTTCAGACCCCAGCATGCAGCTCCGCAACACGTCCAGGTTCATTTCACCTCAACCTGAAGTCACCATGCCTCCCTCCCTCTCACCAGGAACAGGGAGAGCTGGGCGGCAGCTACTTCCTGGATCCAGCATGTTGATAATGTAAACATGCCCTGAAGGTGGCCGGCCACCTTACACACAGCAGAGAGGTGTAAACTGGGGGGTAATGGATGTTTACAGATGCTCAGGGTGGTGATGGTCATTAAGTGGTCACTGATCTTGTCGGGGAGGGGGGGTACTAAATGGCCATTGATATGGTCTGGTTGGAGGTAAATGGCTACTCTGGGCTGGGAAATGGAAGACTGGTCTGGTGTGGGAATTGTCTAATGGTGTTTGATTTGTCATAATGTTTCTGGCTATTTATGTTTTTTCTTCTTGGAAGAGGATACCAGCAGAGGAGATGTGGGATGTTTTCTTGATGGGGCCGAGTATCAGGATTTCCTTCTCAGTTTTGACATGTGTTTATTTTCTTTTTGAATATTTTTTTCTGATGCGGTTTGGAGGAGTTCTCACAGTGATACAAGTTTTCTCATGTCCACGTATTTTATGGAGAGATGCAGTTATGAGATATTAAAATGTGTAGATAGTAAAAATATGTAAATAGTGTAAAGTTATTCTAATCTGTTAATAAGTTTAAAGAATGTTTATCTTTTTATATTTTTTTTTGAATATGATAAATTCTAGTCTACTCAAATGAAAGTTAACATGACTCATAAAACCCCTCATGAAACACAATATCAAATATTTACAGTGTTGCAAACATATATTTTGAAAATAGATAAATCACAGGGAAGAAAAGGCTTAGTGAGTTCTTTCTATTAAAGGTTATTCGCTGCAATATTTGATGGTGAGAAAATATATAAAATAGCCAACAATTCCCTACAGCCAGTTTCAGGAGAAACTGTTTCCCAAACAATACATATTTCTTATAAATGTATGAGACTAAAACAAGACATATCAACAGATGAAGAGCTGACAAGAAAAACCCATCAACCATCTCCTGCAGCAAGCTCAACATCTTATATATTTATTTATTTAGTGAAAAACAAGACAATATCATGTAAAGAAAAGTCAAAACATGTGTACACAATATGTGTACACAATCAGTAATTAATTACCATGTGATTGACAGTGTGTCGAGTAGAGAGCTAAGAACTCCTTGTTGTACTGAGCTAATAGTAATCTACCTACGGGAACATAGTATTTTGTCTGATCCAGCTCGCTGCTGGGGATAGAAGTAAGTAGTACTGATGAGGAGTTCTTTCCTCCTGTAGATGACGTAGTTGTGTCTGTTTCTGAGATGCTGGTTGTGCCAGGAATCAGTATCTTGTTAGTCATAGAACCATGCAAGTGTAGCTACTTGTATCAGTCATCAATATGTTGTGTAGGTGTTGCAAGTGAAGGTGTATTTCTTAGCCTTGCTTTGTCTTAATTTTATCGCCTTAATGCCTATATTACACTTTTGTTTTTTGAGTCTTCATTTCTTCATGTTACTGTTTTTGTCTGTATTTTATTGTACTTTTTGTATTATTTTTTTCCAAAAGATGGGGGAAGAGGCATGTATTTCATAATTTGTAAACAAAGTGAATCTATATACAAATGAATTTATAGAAATGATTTTGCCAACAACTTCGATGAGGCCAGACAACTATAAGTCTGCTGTTTTCTGTCCCTCAGTTTTTTTCCATCTGTTTTTTGTAGTGTTTAAGTTGCCATTTGTCTTATTCATCAGAAAATCTTTCTTAGTTTGTGACATCTGACTTCATTTGAAAAGAAAAGTTTTGCTAAGTCTTTTGTTATTTAATATTTTGATTCCAAACTCTCAAAACATAATTCGCAACTGGAAAATCATAAGCTGTTAGTTATATCATAAAGACCAACTTCAGAAAAGAAAAATAAGCTTGGGTGGCAAAAAGCTATGTTCCATGAGAAAAATTATGCCTTGGCATCTTTTAAAAACACTTATGACATTCTTCAATCTTATTTTATCAATTTTGATAAGAGCTGTTAGTGTAATAAAGATGACAGTCAGTCTTAAACCAATCAGAAACCTGAAGTCAAAGATGTTTTAGAATGATTCAAGGGGTGGCTATTTCAAACACTTCAATGTTAAGAGTATATTTCTTGTTCTACTTTCAGGAAATTAAATCATACATAAATAGCTAAATACCTAAATAGCTAAATACATAAATAGCTAAATACATAAATAGCTAAATACATAAATAGCTAGCTAATAATTAAGCATCATTTGAAAACAGTTACCAGCCTGTCCTTGTTACCATGGAAATTATTTCTGAAACTGACCAAACCAGTTATCTGACCTCCCTGGTGTGATCTAGTATCATGACATATTATCTGAGGACAGCATACAAGGAATCCCTGTCTGGCTGTCAGTGATGTCCACCTGTGGAAGCAAAGTCTTAATGGCGTTGCAGAGTCCAGGAATTTTCCTGACAACCCTCAGGTTGTAGCAGCTCCAGGCGGAGTGTGAACTCTTGACTTCTCCACGCCAATAACCTCGGTCATAATTACACACTTTATGGATTTTCACTCTTCAAGCAGATCTGGCAGAAAATTGTAGTATTGTCCAGTATGATCATCTTTCCAATTATCGGTGAGAGCTGTGTGGTGGACGGTGAGAGCTGTGTGGTGGATGGTGAGAGCTGTGTGGTGGACGGTGAGAGCTGTGTGGTGGACGGGAAACCACTCTTCACCTGGCCACACAGAAAATTATATGATCTGATCACATGACTCAGAAATACAGCTCATTTGTGGAATAATGTGGTTTGTTGAAAGAAAATACTTTTTTTTATTTTGGAAACCTTTATGATTGAAGAAGCAATGTAGGATAATCCAGGGGAAATGAAGAGGCATGATTGAATTTAGAGATTTATCCAATGATATCATTGATTGAGTGTTAATCAAAGATGATAATCAGATTAAAGAATAATAAGTTGATTTATATTTGGCATGTTTTTCATGTATTTTGGTTAAAAATATAGATGGAAAAACTAGGAATCCAAAACATTGTTATCTGATAAAGGGAAAACTTAGTTCAGGATTTAACAAGGTGTAGAAGTTACTTTGTAGAGTATGTTTACTGTTGATTGTTGTCATCAACAATGTGGGGGAAAGGAATCTTCTAGTTTATAAATCCTCAGTTTGATGAAAATATGTAATCAAAATCATATGAATATCCCTACTCTGGTCATTTCATTGACATGGATTAAACAAGCTTTCAGTCTTGTGTTAGTTAGCTTGAGGATATGGATGTTCCAACAAGAAGGTTGTAGCTATGTTTGACATATTGACAAGAACTGCAGAAAATATTCTTTGAAGATGTGAACATTTTGTATGATGTGTCTCTTTGACAAATACATTGCCTTTGAAGTTCAGACCTTCTTCTGCTGTAACATCTTTACTGGACATCAACTTATCACCTGTATAGAAGGGACTGGAAGCCAGCTGAATATTTCTGTAAGCATAGAGAAAACCTGTTCAGTGTACCATACTACCAATAATCTGTTATATTTTTAAGTAGACTTCAAGTAATTTGTTATCCCATTTTTACAAAACATAAAACTTATCATTTTTTAGACAATAAGTTTCACTAATAACAGATAAACTATAAAACATTTTCTTCAGTTCAAATTTGTTTGCACCAGACAAACCATTGACTGAAATGATGGAACAGAACCGTACAGTTGGGTACAGTGACATACAGAACCGTTCAGTTGGGTACAGTGACATACAGAACCGTACAGTTGGGTACAGTGACATACAGAACCGTACAGTTGGGTACAGTGACATACAGAACCGTACAGTTGGGTACAGTGACATACAGAACCGTACAGTTGGGTACAGTGACATACAGAACCATACAGTTAGGTAACAGTGACATACAGAACCGTACAGTTGGGTACACATGACATACAGTTGGGTAACATACAGAACCATACAGT